CTCCCTCCCATCTTCCTCCAGAACCCTCTCCACCAAAACATATGTGATATTCCGCACTGACCATGTAGGTTTATTACAGCTGGAGTGCCCACCGCGCCATTACAAGTGGAAGCCAGAATGGACGACGAAGGCTGGATAGTTTCGTGGAAAGAACCGTCAAGCGACGGTGGATCACCCATCACCAGTTATGCCGTTGAGGTATAATAATCACAAAGCACGGAATAGTGTTAAAGTACCAATTTCAGATGAGACATAACCGTTCGTCAGAATGGGAGATTGGCGAAAGAGGGCTAGATGCTTGGAAACTATGGTGGAGACCGGCGAAAAGTGACCGACGTAACTGGGAGTTTCGCGTAAGAGCGACAAACGCTGAAGGTTTTGGTGCTTATGGTTACTCCAGCGATAACGCTGGTAAGGATTAAACTAAAGTAATAACTTCTCTACTACTAAATGTTTTGCAGCACCTCCGATTATAGAACAATCAACACAGACATGGCTTTACGTTATTCTTTTTGTCTCTCTTATCGCAATCATCGTACTACTGACTCTTATATTCCTAATGAGTAAGTTTTAGCCCTATGCAATATTTGACACTATCTTATCAAGATGCTACAACTATCTAGTGCGAGCTCGAACGCGAGCAGCTCGTTTGAAAAAGGAACGCACACAGGACAAAAACTGCATAACCTTGGAAAAAATCGCTGGTCTTCATAGTGCACCGTATCAACCGATGCCGCCTGAAATGCTTAATGAAATCAAAAGTCAGTTTTCCTTGAACTGATCACTTTCTCTACAATTGTCAAATGTGAAGTCCGTTCATATACAGCATAAACTTCAGATCTCCCTCATGTTCGCTCGGACTATATCCGCTTGGAAAGAAAGCTCGGCACAGGAAGTTTTGGAGAAGTATGGGAGGGCGTCGCAACTAAATTACCGATGAGAGACAGAGAAACAAAAGTAGCAATCAAAGTTAGTATGCTTGACTAATATAAAACATGTTCAAGTATCTACAATTGCAGACTCTCCGTCAAGGTTATGAAGAAGCGGAGAAGATAAAGTTTATAAAGGAAGCCATTCTTATGAAGT